AGCAGGCGTAATGGATAAGTAAAAGCTGAGAAAATAACTTTCTAGGCCCCATGGGACCGCCGGGCAGAAACGGAGGGTGCAACTGCCCGCCTCCAAAGACCGAAAGCGGATACAAGAAAAAGATGAAGAAATGAATCTAACCGCTGGGTTGTATTTCAGTAGATAGTTCTTTGCCTAACAATGTATGTAATCATTTGTGTAAGTTACAAAGACTTATTGGTTTGCAGTAAAGGGTCTCTTTGTAAAGTCGGTACAGATATAATGATTCTTCAGTATTTAGCACGACTTAGTTGGCCACCCTAAAGAGTCCTTCAGTTATTTGTAATTTCTACAGGGAGTGATAGACCAGCAGGCAACCCATGACCAGTATCGCAGGTTGATCTCAGCTTTAGGCTATTCAACTATCTTTGCTTCGTTTGGTACGTTAATCACATTAGAATCAAATTAAGGCAGTACTGTCATTAGTGTCATCATTACTGCAGTACTATCAGTACTGTAGTGTACTGTTAGTAAATGTTAAACTCCACATAACGCTAAACTTCTAATGACATCACAGAATGGACAAAACTTGTACATTATCTGTCACTTTATACTGTACCGAGAAATGCCGCGAAATACCGAATCACGCAGTCAAACTCTGAACAAAGGTCAAAGTTCCAGCGTTAAAACGAGCACTACCAGAATCCAGTTTTTTTATAAAAAGACAACAGCGTCGACACTTATGATTTTGAATATCTGGAAATAATATCTTCATAGTTTCAAAGCTAACAAATTTTCCAGTTAGTCAGTCGTAGTCACTTGTCCACTGAATCACAACATCCTTACCCTTTCTAGTAACATTTGCAATGTAAACTGTTAGCATGAATACGAAAAAGTAAACAGCCTGTTACAGAAAAGACTCAAACGACAAAACTGTAATTAAATGTTGGCAACTGCGGGAATGTTGCGAAGAAGAATTGAATGCTTCCCACAATCGAATTAAATTACTCTCGAACCGAATTAATACCATAGCTAGCAAAGACTTATATATGTTAACGTTATGTACAAACCACGTTGCCACGTCCCTGCCGTCGTGGCGTAACCGATATCTACATGAGTCACATGGAGTCGAATAACAACTCTAAGAGAGGCATTTAAGCAAGCCACTGTATCTAAACACCAACAGTGCCAGGTTCGTCTCGTATCATTTTGTCCACTAGGGTCACCTCGCGCTCATCACGAACGATATTCCAGGAGTAACCGAATCCATTTCACTTCAGAGTAATAACACAGTAACTATGACGTTTATGGGCATCCTTATCAAACGACGCGTAAATGATTTCTCCACCTGCACAGTATACGGAAAGCCGCAGGTAACTGTAGCCGTCGTTGCGACACTTCGTTTAACTTCACAGCCTAAATTCCAATGCGTCAGGAGTTGCTTAATGTCTGAACTGCTCGACAATCGATTTACAATGCGGATTTGTCAGTTTCGCCTCTGTTCATCGTATGTTCATCGTAACTCTGACTCATCGATCCACAGGAGCAATTCATAGTCAAGGATACTTTGGGATGCCTGGTTCAGAAGCCTGAAAAGCCTTCTTACGCCGATAGGCCTTTCAAGGTCAGATTTCTCGTGTTCTTATCAAAAATAACCAGCACCTAGGATGGCAGGTAATTGTAGATTGGCTTTGCACTTTGAAAGTTGCGAGATCCGAAATATCAGCGTGCAGTATAATTACTCCTTTTGACCGACAATGACCGATAACGGTGGAAATCATTAGCCGTTAACCCCGAAACGGTCAGCCAACGACGCTTTGGTAGATTATTATAAAATCCTG